TGATTTACTAGTGGCGTGAGAATACTGGCCGTCGCTCTGTCTCTGTTGTCGTGTGTGTGTGTGTGTGTGTGTGTGTGTGTGTGTGTGTAACATGTACTTGTGCAGCCAGACGTACCCAAGGAACTCAGCTTTCCAAAGCACCTCCAAATGTGAGCAAATTTCCCAGCTGTGCATGCAAGAAATGAAGGTATGTGCTGTAAGTGTAAATATGAACGCCTGTGTGCGAGCAGCATGGTGGGTAGTTCTTTGACTCTAGGCCCAAGCTGCAGTAAATCCTCCTAGTTCCACTGAAGTCCTTGGACTGACACCGATTGACACTTGCTGAGTCCCAGCCCCATGCCCTGTTCACTGGGGGAGGGCGGGCGGAGTTACTGCTGTCTGTGGCATGCATGAAGTGCACCTACCAGTGCCCCAGAGATTCCAAAAATCTTACGGAAGAGCCTGCTTATATCTCCCTGGGTGCTCAGTATCCTGGTGGGAGTCAGGTGGAATGGTATCTTCCACGAGGAAGATTAACAAGTAATATCCTATTTTTGGAGCGGGTTTGCTTCGTACCACTGATGCGCTTAGCCGAGGGAAGCATCGTCTTGTAGCTACGGCACCGGAACAAGGCTCAGCAGAACAGGTTTGGTTCCTTGCTTCGCCCCAGACTTCCTGTGTGAACTTGGACAAGTCCCTTGTGCCTCAGTTCCCTGTCTGTAAAACGGAGATTTTAATTCTCCTTTGTCTTGTCTATTGAGATTGTAGTCTCTGTAAGGCAGCATCTGTCCCAGACACTGTGTGCTAGGTGCCGTACAACACATAGTAGAGGATACGACCCCTGTCCCCAGGACTTTCTGGTGGAAAGGATCTCTTAGATCAAGGGTTCTCAACCTGTCTCTTTCTGAAGCCCCGTCAACATGTTATAAAAACTCCATGGCCCAATTGTGCCACAACCATTTTTTTTCTGCATATGAAAACCAGGGATGGCATTAGGGAATAGCAAGCAGGGCAACTGCCCAGGGCCCCACACCACAGGGGGCCCTGCACAGCTAAGTTGCTCAGGCTTCGGCTTCAGCCCCGGGTGATGGGTCTTGGGACCCCAGGCTTCAGCCCTGCATGGTGGGGCTTTGGCTTTCTGATCTGGGCCCCATCAAGTCTAACATTGGCCCTGCTTGGTGGGCCCCTGGACTCCTGGTTGAGAACCACTGACTTAGATCATCCAGGAAAGTTAGAGGTGGAAAGGATCTCTTAGATCATCCAGGCTATTTCCTGAAAAACGGAGGATTGTTTCCTTCCTATTGTACATTTCTCAGTGTTTTAAGTCTAGTTTTTAAAAAAGTCCCAAGCACCTGCAATTTCTGCTCAGATTAGGTGTTTGCTGGACCTTAATGTCCTAGAACTTCATGAAGTTGAACCCAAAGAAAGCAGGAGATCTGATCATTGACTCCAATAACATCGATTCAGTTGCTGAGCAGTGCGTCTGTCCTGGTGATTCCATTGGACAATATATCCCTGACTCCATCCTCACCCGACTCTGAGATTCATATTATCCTCCAATTGGCAGTCCTCCTGGGCCAGCTACTCAGATGATGTAAATCAGAACAAGTCCATTGAAGACAATGGAGCCACGCCAACTGACACCCGCTGGGGATCTGGCCCCTTCTCTCCATTCCATCATTAAAAGGGCCTTTTCCCACCAGTGCTCCGGCAGATAGATTTAGAGTTACGGCTAAACGGCTGTGTTTTTTCAAGGCTCGATTACTGTAATTGTTTGTTATACGGGGCTCCTTCTCATCACTGATCGAGGCTAACAGCTCATTCAGGCTGCTGCGGATTCCATTCTTATGGGCATGGAGCTGCCCGAGGACATTACTTCGCTGCAGAAATTGTTGCTTTCACTCCCTGTCAAGCTAGACATTGATTTTCTTTAAAGTTCTTCTATTGTGTTTAAGGTCCTGAGTGGCTGTGGGCCAGATTATAGACCCCATCTCTGTTCTGATGTTCCCAGCCAGTTCTTATGATCGGAAGCTGCAGGTAGCCGGACTGGGCCTGGCTGTGATCTTGCGTCCATGGAAGAGAGAGCATCTTACAGTCACGTGCCCTATCTGTGAGGTTCTCCACCAGTCGCAATAGGAGGTGCTCAGTCTGTCCCACAGCTGAAACCTGTCTGGGATTCCCCAGTACTACAGCCCTCCCACTAGCCTCATCTGCCTACCCTCTTGCACCTTGGAAGAGCCTGGACCTTCCAGCATGACCTGAAGGTCAATAAACTCAGGCTCTGGTGAACTGATGGGAAAGCTGGTCCATAGCTGAGACCCCCCCACTAAGAAGGCCCTGCCTCCAGTCACACCCAGGCTCAACAGGTGGAGTGCTTGCTCAATGCTGCTGTATGATCACATGCGATAGTCTTTGAGATAACCAGGACCCAGTCCATATAGGGCCAGATTGTATCTTACTGGCTCTGTCCCACTGGTGGGGAGCTCCATGGGCTCCTTCCAGATCACATGGGGGTGTAGCTACTCCGTGCCTTAGCTGCAAGGGGTGGTGAGGGCGAGAGAGGGATGCATGGCCCCCATCTCCTCCCTGCCCCCTTGGTGCAACTTGTGCCTCTGGAGGAGCTAGGAGGGAGCAGTCCCTGTGCTCCCCCAAACACAAGCACTGCACTTGTGCCCCGTCCCCACATGGGGATGTGAGGGAGAGGGCAGGCACCAGAGATCCTTCTCGCTCCCCTGGGCCCCTGTTCTGGGCCGGGGCACGGAGTTGGCATTAAGGTGAAATCCTGGCCCCATTGGCATCAATGGCAAAACAGCTGTGGGGAGCAGGATTTCACCCCCAGGCTTCATAGGCTAAACTAAATCCCTTAAATTCCAGCCAGTGCAGACTGGGGACTCATCCCTAGGCATTTGATTGCTTGTGTGTACATGTGAGGCAGAGAGCGAGCTATATTGTGTGATTCCTTATTCTTTATTATTTTTACTACGGAAGCACCCAGAGGGCCCAGTCAGGGATCGGGGTCCCATAGCACTAATTGTTGTACATGTAGGTCATTTAAAAAAAGAGTCCTTACCACAAAAGGCTTACGGTCTAGACTGATCACCAGACCCAAGAGGGAGAGCAAACAAACTGAGGGGCAACTGTAGGAAGGCAGAGAAGATGGGGATAGTGAAACAAGCACTTCGTATGGGAAGCAGCTCACAGCTCACCATCTGTGTGGCCAGCTGCAGGGTTCAAAGGCCTCGAGGCAAAGCCTCTATCCAAAGGGATCTGGAGGGGATGGTGCAGTCCATGGTTCTGTCTCTCTGAGATGGCTCCAGTGGTAGGAAAACGCCCCGCCAGCAAGCTGCCTGGCAGGCCTCCTGGGGACTGTGTGAACTGGAGACTCCCTGATGTTCTGGGTCACCAGGGTTTGCCTGATCGCTGTTCCTCCTCTGGAATGAAACTGCAAAGCCGCTGGTTAAAAGACTGAGGACGTCTGCTGTGTCGTTTATCCCAGGTCAGAGAGACGCTGGCAGCCGAGACGGGGCTGAGTGTGCGAGTCGTGCAGGTTTGGTTCCAGAATCAGAGAGCGAAGGTACGTAACCTCGGGGGACAATATGGGGACTGGACTCAGTGACCCAGGAGGTCCTTCCGGCCCTATATTCTCCTGAAAAACACTGTCCTAGAGCTTTGCTCTTGCCTCCTCCATAGATTGACTTGTTTCAACCCTCTGCTTTCCTTTCCTTCCTGAACAGATGAAGAAACTCGCGAGGAGGCAGCAGCAGCAGCAGCAAGATCAGCAAAACACCCAGCGGCTCAGTTCAGGTACTGCCCAAGAAGACCACCTAACCCCCTTGCTGCATGAGACCCCCATGACCACTGTCAGAAATCACAGAGAGGCTGCATGATGCTGCCCACCCCCCCAAAATGCAGCACTGGTATTCCCAGTTCAATTGCAGTGCCCACTTTCTGCTGCCCGTGTACCGTTTCCTGGCCTAGAACCCCAACTCCTGTAGCTGGGATCTCCCATTCTGCTGCAAGACAGGCCCCCACTGCACTTCAGAACTCTGCCCGGGATCCCCCAGCTCTGAGGTGTGTTACCCCCAGATCCACTAGCCCAGGCGTTCTCAAACTGGGGGTCGGGACCCCTCAGGGGGTCATGAGGTTATTATGTGGGGGGTCGCGAGCTGTCAGCTTCCACCCCAACCCCGCTTTGCCTCCAGCATTTATAATGGTGTTAAATATAGAAAAAAGTGTTTTTAATTTATAAGGGGGTCACACTCAGAGGCTTCCTATGTGAAAGGGGTCACCAATACAAAAGTTTGAGAATCACTGCACTAGCCCATTGTAGAATGCCCTACATGCATGGGGGAGTCTCCCCCTTAGCCAGCACAGCTGAAAATGTTACTATCCGTCATAAGATAAACAGGTCACTTAGAAGCCCAGCCACAGCATGAGACTTGATAATCTCTTTGCAGCAGTGAGTTCCACTGGTTGTTTACATGCTGGGTGAAGTAGCGTTTCTTTTTATTACATGGCTTACAGCATAAGGGCAAGGGGCCGGCAAGGGCAGCTAGTGTGGGAAAGGGGGTCCGGGTTCTCACTGCCGCAAAGGGTGAGGCTAGGAAAAGGTGGTTTGGCTTTAATTAAAACAGAGACGAGTAAGGGCTCGGTGCTTCTCTGAGAACCAGCCTAGTGCACTGGGCAGGCAGGGGCGGGGGTGGCAAAGCTGCTCCTGTCAGCGAGGGAGAAATTCTCATTTCTGATAAGGCACCTTGGTGCTGCTCTGGGAGTGCAAAGGAGCCTGAAGGGGAACGGGAATGGCCCCCTGGCTGGTGCAGAGCTGGTGAAAGGGCTCTACAACCCTGATCTACAACCCTGGGCAAGGGGTGTTTTTGCACTAGGGAATAGGAGGGAGGGCTACGCTCGTGGCAGGGGGTGGGAAGGGACATGGCCAAATCACACTGCTCTTCATCTGTTCTCTGCATCCCAAGGCCCATGGGGAGTCATGGGAAGCCGAGAGTCAATTAGAGCAGCCCCGAGGAGGCTCTAAATTACACTGCAGGGCATGGTGGCCCCAGAATGACCCCAGAATACATGGTATGTGAAGGTGACTTAAAGCCACCTTTGTATTACCCCTCCATCCGGGCCCCAAGCATAGGGCTGGAGTGACTGACAGAGCATTCTCCTGGGAGCATGCAGGGCTATGACTTGTCCAGAAGTCTGGAGTGGACAGAGCCTGACAGACATCTCTGCCCATTGCTGCAGGAAAGGAGGGATGACAGCAGCACAGCACAGAGAGACGCTGATTCTGGCCGAAGGGGGGGCAGAAGCTTAGGTGACAGGGCAAGAAGGGGGGAGCTGAGTCTTGGCACTGGTGGAGTAGAGTAAGGGGTGCCACCGTGGGACTGCAGGCTCAGGGATATGTGTGAGAGAAGAGCCCGGAGGGGTGAGAAGGGACCCAGCACTGCTGCCTGGGGATGGGTTTGGAGTGCAGACCTGTGTAGCAGCCCAGGGAGGTTAGAAACCGGGGAGCCCTACAGCAGCATTTGGCTCTGACATCAGTTCTCCCTTGTCTTACAGCTCAGACAAACAATGGTGGGAATGCTGGCCTGGAGGGGATCATAAACCCATACACCACACTGGCCCCGCCACAACAGCTGCTGGCGATTGAGCAGGGCGTCTACAGCTCGGACCCCTTCCGGCAAGGGCTCACCCCGCCCCAGATGCCAGGGGACCACATGCACCCCTATGGTAAGAGCCTCTGGGAAATTGCAGTGCTCATCTCTAAGCACCTCTGCAGCGGGTCTCTTTCCACCCGCCAATACAGGGCCAGAATGGAGATTCCACCCTGACTTACACACACACGCCAGTTCTCACCTTCCCCGCGAGTCTCCACAGCTGGTGAGATTGGCGCCTTCCCGAAGCACATGCTGCCTTCCAGAGCTCCAGCTGGAGTGTCGTGAATCAGCAGCGCCCCCTAGCGTGAGCAGCGGCTGAATGCCCACACTCCAGCCCTTTAGCTCTGCTGGGGGACAGCGCTATGTCACTGCAAAGCACTTTGCTAGGACTGTCCATCGCCAATAATACTTCAACATCGTTTGTTTGCCTCACTTTAAGGTGCTGAGCCCCTTTTCCATGACCTGGATAGTGACGATACCTCACTTAGCAACCTGGGCGACTGTTTCCTAGCGACTTCAGAAGCTGGACCGCTGCAGTCAAGAATGGGAAATCCCATCGACCATCTGTACTCCATGCAGAACTCCTATTTCACTTCTTGAGCCTTGTCTGTGTCACCTGGCCAGGCACAGGTGCCTATGACATTACAGGCTAAACCCACTTCAGATATGGCGGGCGAGGAGTTTGTGTTTCTGGAATGCTGTCAGACAATATTTTGTAGCTCAGTATTTCCAAAGACTGAATAAGTTATGGATCGCATAGTGTAATGTTTTTATTAGAATCCTAGTACTAGATACTAAGTGTTTATTAGAGCTGGGCTGCTAGGTGTTTTCAACTTGAAATTTTAACAATGGGGGAAAAAACAGGTTAAACATTTCTATGAAATTTTAACATTCTCAATCTCCTGTTTACCCCCCTGTCCGGCTATAGAAAGGGTTGATTTAAAAAAAAATTATTCGTGTATTTATTTATTTTTATTTTGAAATTTAGACTGAATTTTGATGGAGAAAGAAAAAAACAGGGAACACTTTGTGCAAAGTTTTCACAATTCTGTTACCCACACCCTCCCCCTGCAATTTAATGGGATTTATTTCAGCAAAGTTCTCTGGCCTGCGATATGCAAGTCAGACAAGATGATTGCATCGAGTGACCTTCTGGCCTTAGAGTCTCTGACCATACGATTTCAGTCCTCCTGTAGAAATGGTCCAAAACTTTTCAAATTTTGCAATTTTGGCAAAATTTGATGAAAAAACAGGGAAAATTTCAAAGAAATGTTTACCATTTTTTTCTTGTATCTCTACCAGCTCTAGTGTTTATTGACAAAAACAGGGACTTTTAATATAGACATTCTCATGCAAGTTTAGACATCTAGAAACTCCTAATCTGTCTCTCACTAACTGGGAAACTCCTGGCAAGAGGTAGGTATGTTTGGGTGTGTGCCTATGTGCCTGCACATGGGGTGTGTGTGTAAATGTATGTACTCCACAGACACACTTGCATATAGTATCAACAAAGTTTATTCCTAATTCTATCAGAAATGTACTGTACAGCAAAAGTAACTTTATTTTCAGCGTGAACCATATTTAAGGAAATGCTTGATGCACTTAAGTTATAAGACAATAATTTACTTTTATAAAGGTTATGTGTAGTTTTCAAAAGCCCAGCGGCAGGGAAGGAACACTCAATTCCTTGCAGTCGAGAGGTCTTTGGTGCTTTCCATCTGCTTGGTTGCTTTTAAAGGTTGGTTATAATCCAAAGAGTGTCCGTGTCAGTCATTGGAGCCTGATCCTGGGCCCACTGAAGCAAAAGGCAAAATTCCCATGGACTTTAATGGGGCAGGATCGAGCCCTGTATCTGCTCTGCTCCCTCTGTGTCTCTGAGTCACAGCTGCTGGCGTCACTGACCATCTCAGGAGTTTTCCATTCCTAGCCCGGTAGGAGTCAATAAAGCGATGGAAGAGTGAGATGGAATATGTTCTGCCCCATGCATCATCAGCAAGTGGATTAGTCCTAGACGACTGCAGATCTGGTCACCAGCAGAAGATCCCGATTCTCCCAGTGAGGACCTGATCCAAAGCCCATCAAAGTCAATGGAAAAACTCCCATTGGTATCACTGTGCTTTGAATTGGGCCCTAGAAGGAGAACGGGAAGTAGTTTTTCATGATCTTGGGGAGAGTCTGCAGATCCTTGTGTGAACATTTACAGGGGGCTGTGTTTGACCTTGGGCCAACCCTGATCAGCTAAGCTCAGATGGCAGAACCTAAGGACTGGTCTACACTGGGAACTTACAGCTGCACAGCTACGCATAGCTGCTGGAACTAGGGGTGCTGCCGCACTCCCTGGCTTGAAGTGGTTTCCATCGTAGCCAGGATTTACAGTTTGGATCAATGGCTCTCAGCTCCCCCCACTGTAAAAATTGCTCCAGCCCCCCTGCAGCTATGTCGCTCAGGGGTGTGATAAATCCACACCCCTGAGCAACACAGTTAAACCGACCTAATCCTCTGTGTAGACAGTGCTAGATGGATGGAAAAATTCTTCTCTTGACCTAGCTACTGCCTCTCAGGGAGGTAGATTACCTATGCAGATGGGAGAACCCATCCTGTTAAGCACAGATAGTGTCTACACTGAAGCGTTGCAGCTGTGCCACTGTAGTGTTTCAAGTGTAGACAAGCCTTACATTGCTGCTGCAGCTGAGCACAGATGGATTTCCAGTACCCAAACGGGAAGTGTGAAGCCAGCACTTTGGGTTTGCTCATGCGAATGCTTAGTTTGCGGCCAGTTGGGGTGTGAATCTACACTGCACTAGCTGTCCATGCGGACCCTGCTGTCGGGCACTAACCGTTCCCTAGTGCATTTTAATCTACTCCAGTTGCAAAGCAGGCTAGAGCAAAATGCACTTTCAGAACCTTTGGTGCTCAGCAGCAGGGTCCAGACGGACACGTAGCTTGCAGCAAGCCCCGGTGTCAAGCTATCCAGCATTAGCTTGCCGCACCCTAAGTGTTTGCAGAGATGAGCCCTGAGAAACACCCTCCGTTTGGACCTGATCCAAAGCCCATTGACGTCAGAGGTTTTCTGATCGAGCCCTTCATTTGAAAACAGAGGTTCAACACTGGATCCACATGAGCTATTCTTCCGCCTCTGGAAGAGAGAATATATATGGAGCCTCACACGGTCACTTTTCTTTAAGCAATGGGTTACCCTGCTCTTTGCTTCCCCAGTGCAGCACAAAAGCATGAAATGTCAATGTCCCAGTGGTCTTTGGGACAAATCAAGTGTGGGAGGGCTGCCTGCTTTCCACCCACGTGCTCCATTGAACCGCTGGGGAAGCCGCGGGCACTTTGGCAGAGTTTTTCTTAGAATCAAGCCCTGTGCTGAGGCAGGTGCAGACGAGTCCTTATCCTATTATAGTTTATGTGTTGTGTAATTTTGTGCTGTTGTTATGGATAAATTATGCAAACAACAAAATGTAAATGAATGAAAGTAACTGTGGTGCTGTAGTTTCCGGCTAGCGGCCATGTTAAAGACCTGACACTGAATGTAACGGGGGGCTGATGGATGAAAATGACACACCATCGGAAGTGATGTACGAAGATTAAATTAAAAATCTCCGCAAAGTGGCTGGTCTCTTTGTGTGTGAGATGTTCTGTTTACTCTGCAGTTATCAGCAGGGTGGGGATGTCAAGGAGGAAGAGGAGTTGGGCAGGGCATAGTGAGATAAACTGACCAAAGAAGGATTTAGACTGAATAGTAGGCAATATATATATATATATATATATATATTTAACTATGAGGGCTCTATGCGACAGGGGAATAGCCACTCATAAAGAAGCAATCAAAAGTCCACAACTGGTCTGTACCTCTGCCTCCCACTCAGAAATAAACCAGTCGCTGCTTTCCAACTGGAAAGCCCCACTAACTGGCATTTCAAAGTCAAAGGGGTAACATCAAACGGGACAAAACCCTGGATAATCCCTGCCAGGGCTGGGGAAACGTGGTAGACAAAACAAACTATAGCAATAGGGATTTTCCATCTCTAACTCCTGGGATGTTACAGCTCTACTCTGTTGCATTGCCTGGTGTTTGCTCACTTTATGAGGCCTGAACCAGAGCCTTTGAAGACTGTGGGAGTTTTTCCATTCACTTCTTTGGGCGTGGGATCAGGTCTTTCTGCTGCTGTCTTTTGGTAACCATTCATTGAAGCACTTTGCGCAACTCATTGTTTTCCTGCACTGGCTCAGTGGTCACCATAGGATCAGTCCCCCCTTATACGGAAACCACCAGGATCCTCACTTGCATGTATTCGGACCATTGGTTAGCTGTCTTTTAAAGCAAGCGGTGGTTGTGCCTTCCTTTAACTCTGGCAAGTTTGGTTTCAAAACAGACAAGTGGAACAGGGATTGTGTCTAGCTGAATCAGGGCAGTGCTTAGCACAATGGGGCCCAGATCCCCCCTGTTCTTGCCTGTTAGACGTGGGCTGACACACCGGCTGTCTCCTGATGGTGGTGCTGCTGGTAATTCAACACGTATTCCACGCCCTGTACCGATATGATCTCGATCACAGGTAAACACTGTCGGAACTGCCAGCCGCACCAGGGAGGTTTTAATACTAACAAGGTCACAGAAGGTCTCTCTGGCTGTTCCTATGTCTTTCTTTGCTGCTTGTATGGCTGCCTGGGGGGAAGGCAGCGAAGAGAAAAGCACAGAGGCAGAGGAAGTTGGGGACAGGGATTTCAATTCACCCCTCTGCAGAAGATTTAAATCGTGCTTAGACCTTATAGTGGGTGAACTTCACCCCGGGTGCTGAAGTGAGAGACCAAACCCTACAGGGCTGGTGGTGAGGATCAGGGCTGGCTGAACTGACACAGATAAAACAAACCACCTCCTAACCAAAAACCTGAAGCCTTTGGAAGTTTAAACTGAAACATCTTCATTTCTCTCCCCCGCCCCCCTTTTCAGACTGGGAAATCAACTGGAGTTAGATGCCTAATACCTTTGAAAATCTAGGTCTTGCTTCCTAGAAACAACCAAATGTTGCAGACCAAGGAGGCTGGGTTGGTTGGGATATTAGTCCAAGCAGCTGGGTATTTGCTGGAACCTCTGGACTTCAAGGGGTTCAGTAATCGTGGCTGGAAGGAGTTATGGAACAATGTCCTAATAATAGGATTGTTTAAAGAGGCAGGTATGAAAAGAATCTGGCCTTAGGCAATGATGATCAAAACCTTTCAGATCTCCTCTGAAAAAGACAGGTAAAAGCCACTATTAGCTTGAGGCCAAATCGTACAGACAGCTCTCACTCCAGTAAAACTCCCATTGAAGCCAGCTGGAGTTTCACCTCAGTAAGGGCTTGGGCTGGTGTTTTCAAAGCCAGGCATTGAAACCCTACTGAAATTCAGTGGGCGATGGGCACCGCCCTCCTTCAGCCTTCTTTGAAAGGGCTTGTGGTAGGTTGGGCCGCTTGGGCTCCCAGATCTGGCCATACAAATATAGAAATGTCTGAGGGCAACAGTTTCAACATTTATTTTTTATTTATTTATAACAGGAGAGACTGAGGGACTCTTCCATCAGAATCTACTAAAGCTCACTGGTTAGAGCGGGCTGTGCAGGAGTAATAGACCTCTGTCTGAATCCTTTGCCACCCTCCCTGCAAGTCTGAGGGAGAATTAAACTTGGATCTCCCTCATCCCAGACAAGTGCTCTCATGACTGGGCTGAAGGTTCTAAGGTGGACACCTCCTCCTCTAGCCATTTTGTGAGGCACCAGGTAGGCACCTAATGCATTCCCTCAAAAAGTGCCTTGGGCACCTAAGCCCCCCAACTCCAGACAGTTCGTGGATCTAAAAGTAGAGCTAGGTCCCCTCCCTGAAGCCTGGATTTAGGCGCTCAGCTCTGAGGGAGGGGAAGGGCTTAGTATACCCCTTTCTTGGTGGCACCTCTCAGGTTGTCCGCCTTGCATGCTGGCTTTTGTGGATTGCATTCTAAGGCGCCTCTCTCTCCCCATTCATTGTACAGGGAGCCTTGGTGCCTAACTCAAGCTTTGTGGAGTGCAGTGTTGTTCCTGTGAAGTTCTAGACACCTAAAAGTTAGGCACTGTAATGCTCAGCATCTCAACACCTAAGTCCCTTTGTGGATCCCACCCCTATGGCTACACTAGAAATGCTGCAGCTGCACAGCTGTAGTGTAGACACTGAGGACTTGTCTACACAGACACACAGCTGCCCTGCTGCACTGATTCAATGTAAGCATTACCTACAGTGACAGAAGGGATTCTCCTGTCAGCGTAGTTAATCCATCTCCCCAAGAGGTGGCAGCTTGATCTATGGAAGAATTCTTCTGTCAACCTAAAAAGCGACAAAGAGTCCTGTGTCACCTTATAGACTAACAGAAATATTGGAGCATAAGCTTTCATGGGTGAATACCCACTTCATCAGATGCATGTCAACCTAGTGTTGTCTACACCAGGGCTTAGGTCAGTTTAACTATGTTGCACAGGGTGTGAAATTTTCCACAACTCTGAGCGATGCAGTTAAGCCAGACTAATTTGGTAGTGTCCCCCTGCCTTTGTGATTGCCCTTTTGATTGTGAAACTGTTCTGAGCCCTCCCCTTGGCTCTGTCACCTCCTCTAGAGCCGAAAACATCAAGAAGTGTCAGAAGAAATCCTTCCACCTAGCAGAGGGCTAACAATGGAGAACAATCAAGAGTCATTAAATTAGATGATCTTCTGTTCAAAGGGAAATCCCTGGAATAATGATCTGGCTGCAGTGTAGAGAAACCAGTTTGATCAGGTGGGCCATAGCTAAGCAACAGATCACCTGACAAGGGACTTGAAGCTGCTCAGAGTGGTCACCTGACAAGGGCCTGGAACTCTATAAAAGGAAGGTGCTCTCACTACCCCATCCATTTTAGAAGCAGGTTAGAAGCAGGCAAGGCTATGCAGAAGGAAGGGTCCTGAGATCCTGAAAGGACATGGACCAGCTCCCAAAGCACTTTCAGAATGGTGAGAAAACTGAGGCAGGGTTTTACATGAAGGTTTTGTTGCGTTTCCATAGATCTGCATATCTCTAGTACTGTCAGAGAGTAACATGTGTGTGTGTTTAGAAATTCCTTTGCAGAGTCTCTTTGTTACTTGCTTTTACTGTCATCTAGCCCTTGAACAAAAGAACAATAAACCAGATTCGGTGGAACTCTGGGAATGTGCAAAAGCTCCTAAGCAGGCTTGGGAGAGCTGGTGCTACTTTCAGGGCCTAGACAGTTGGACTGTCCCCAGCTCTCAGAAAGGGATGCTACACAGAGGATCTCCTCCCTGAGAGAGGGTGGAGAGATCCAGGGTCACTGACAATGCTTAGACTCTGCCCAGCCCTAGCAAGACCTGAGCATGAAGAATCCAGGGGCTTGGGTCCAAACAAGGAAATCTGCTGAGCATCCTCCAGGGA